TGATCTGGCTCTAATCTGGCTCTGATCTGGCCCTAATCTGATTCTGATGCTCTGATCTGATTCTGATGCTCTGATCTGGCTCTAATCTGGCTCTGATCTGGCTCTAATCTGGCTCTGATGCTCTGATCTGGCTCTGATGCTCTGATCTGGCTCTGATCTGGCCCTGATCTGGCTCTGATGCTTTGATCTGGCCCTGATCTGGCTCTGATGATCTGATCTGGCCCTGATTTGGCTCTGGTCTGGCTCTAATCTGGCCCTGATCTGGCTCTGATCTGGCTTTAATCTGGCTCTGATGCTCTAATCTGGCTCTGATCTGGCCCTGGTCTGGCTCTGATGCTCTGATCTGATTCTGATGCTCTGATCTGATTCTGATGCTCTGATCTGGCTCTGATGCTCTGATCTGATTCTGATGCTCTGATCTGGCCCTAATCTGGCTCTGATCTGGCCCTAATCTGATTCTGATGCTCTGATCTGATTCTGATGCTCTGATCTGATTCTGATGCTCTGATCTGGCCCTAATCTGGATCTGATCGGGCCCTAATCTGATTCTGATGCTCTGATCTGATTCTGATGCTCTGATCTGATTCTGATGCTCTGATCTGACTCTGATGCTCTGATCTGGCTCCGATGCTCTGATCTGGCTCTGATGCTCTGATCTGGCTCTGATGCTCTGATCTGGCCCTAATCTGGATCTGATCTGGCCCTAATCTGATTCTGATGCTCTGATCTGATTCTGATGCTCTGATCTGATTCTGATGCTCTGATCTGGCTCGATGCTCTGATCTGGCCCTGATCTGGCTCTGATCTGGCTCTGATGCTCTGATCTGATTCTGATGCTCTGATCTGGTTCTGATGCTCTGATCTGATTCTGATGCTCTGATCTGGCCCTAATCTGATTCTGATGCTCTGATCTGATTCTGATGCTCTGATCTGATTCTGATGCTCTGATCTGGCTCTGATGCTCTGATCTGATTCTGATGCTCTGATCTGGCTCTGATGCTCTGATCTGATTCTGATGCTCTGATCTGGCCCTAATCTGATTCTGATGCTCTGATCTGATTCTGATGCTCTGATCTGGTTCTGATGCTCTGATCTGATTCTGATGCTCTGATCTGATTTTGATGCTCTGATCTGGCCCTAATCTGGCTCTGATCTGGCTCTGATCTGGCTCTGATGCTCTGATCTGGCTCTGATGCTCTGATCTGATTCTGATGCTCTGATCTGATTCTGATGCTCTGATCTGGCCCTAATCTGGCTCTGATCTGGCCCTAATCTGATTCTGATGCTCTGATCTGATTCTGATGCTCTGATCTGGCTCTAATCTGGCTCTGATGCTCTGATCTGGCTCTGATGCTCTGATCTGGCCCTGATCTGGCTCTGATGCTTTGATCTGGCCCTGATCTGCCTCTGATGCTTTGATATGGCCCTGATTTGGCTCTGGTCTGGCTCTAATCTGGCCCTGATCTGGCTCTGATCTGGCTTTAATCTGGCTCTGATGCTCTAATCTGGCTCTCATCTGGCCCTGGTCTGGCTCTGATGCTCTGATCTGATTCTGATGCTCTGATCTGATTCTGATGCTCTGATCTGGCCCTAATCTGGCTCTGATCTGGCCCTAATCTGGCTCTGATGCTCTGATCTGATTCTAATGCTCTGATCTGGCTCTGATGCTCTGATCTGATTCTGATGCTCTGATCTGGCTCTAATCTGGCTCTGATTTGGCCCTGATCTGGCTCTGATCTGGCTCTAGTCAGGCTCTGATGCTCTGATCTGGCCCGATGCTCTGATCTGGCACTGGTCTGGCTCTGATCTGGCTCTGATTTGGCTCTGATCTGGCTCTGATTTGGCTCTGATTTGGCCCTGATCTGGCCCTGATTTGGCCCTGATTTGGCCCTGATCTGGCTCTGATTTGGCCCTGATTTGGCCCTGATCTGGCCCTAATCTGGCTCTGTGGCAAGGCACGCTGGCTGGGGACTAAAAATCCCTCCACTGCCCGGTTCAGTTAATGCAACTAAAATGATTCATGTAGTCCCATCATCAATTTAGTAAACTTAAATTTGACATATTTCAGTAGATGAATGAAATTGAGCTGTGGCAAAAATGTTCAGCAATTGTGTGGCTTATTTTACCTTATTTTAATTAAATAAATTGAACAAGTTTAGCCGCTCTGGCAGACAACCTTGGCATTACATTATGTGGTTTAAAAACAATGCACTCTCCTGAAGTCATGCATCAGATTATATCACGAGGAACAACGCAAAATATGCTGGTGTCTAATTGGCTGTTTGTCTTGATCTTGATCGTGACATCATAGCTCTCCTAATGGTCACGTGCAACTAAACACTGCGATATGTGAAGTGCAGGAGGGAAAAATAACACGATACAGAAGAGTACAAAAGATTTAACCACCAGCACTACACATTTGGTACTGAAACACACAAGTCTAATGAGCTGATGAGCGATTGATTACACAGACCAATGTGCAGTGTTGCATCAGCATTTATTTGATGGTGAACTGTGATGTAATTGGTCTGATGATTGTAGGATCTCTTTTTATGATTTCTGAAGGTGTGGTCAAAAGTGTGTCACTGACGTGGGGACGTATGACGCTTAGTTCACTCATACAAGTCTCCTTCAAATGCTACTTCTAATTACTAACTTTGAGTAAGATTGCCTGTTATTTGGTAACAATCACTTTATCATGCCGCTTTATCACGCATAAATGCTTTTGTTTGTTTGTTTTCTAGAAAGACTTGATAATAGGTGGATTTGTCTGTTTGTCTCACCAATGGCAGACGGGCAGACACAAGTCATTATATTTGCTATTCTTCTTGGTGATGGAGTGACATTACAGAAGCACTGCATTTGAGTGAGCGCTGCACTTCTGAATGTTATATTTCCATGACGCACTCTTGCAAGCGTCACATTCCCCTTGACACCGCACTCGAACAAACACACATGATGCCACCCATCGCTGGATACTGACGGGAAAATACGTTTAAAAATCGATCAATTTAAAGAACTCACAGCACCTCAAATAAACACACACACACACACACAGTCGGCTATAGGATTTGGGCACTTCAGCCACACTGGAAAATTACTAACCATCAAACCATGCATGTTGCATGTAAAATATTTCAAGAAGTTTATTTTTTAAATGATAAAACTATAGATAGTGTTGAAAATTAAAACAAAAAAGAGACGTTTTGTAGTTGTGAAATGTCAGAAGTTAATGTGATGAAATACACTTTGAGGGGAACTTGTTCAGTCGGTTACAAATCATTGCAAAAGTAGCCTATACCAGTTTAGCAAAAAAAGCATGAGTAATCATGTCAATAATACGAGAAACGCAACAAAGTGTGCTTCAGATAGTATTAAAGATAAAAGTTCACAGATCATTTGTTCATCATTCGCTAACTTTAAGAAGTTCAGCTGGGATCTGTAGCGTGATGATAGTGATTCTGAGCTCAGGATTTCTCATATAGCCATTGTCAAGTGGTTTATCTCAGTTTTGAAAAGTGTATCTGTTGTTTTAGGAGGTGAAACCAAAGAAGTATGTTTTTTGTTTGTAAAATAATTTAATATCTGTATTTAAAATATAGGCTGTATAGCCATAGTTTGATATAGGGTGTGGGCGACATGACCAAATTCTTATTCCACGATATTAGAAATTATCGCGATATAGTTGTTTTGTGTTATTTTATCTAATTCCACAGATATTAGTTATTAAAAATAAAAATAAACAAGTAAATTACAAACAATAGGACAAATACAATATAACAAAAATATTAATTAACCTAAGTTTTTCAGGTGCAATAGGTTTATTTAACATGTTAGTAAAGAAATGTAATAATCAAATGTAAAAATAAAACGTTGCATAATCTGCACTGTTTGAATTAAATATAAAAGTTATTCAGTCAAGAGCAGTGCGTAAGTTATTTTTTCTTTAGTTTGATTCACATTAATGCCACAGAGCAGCATCAGGGTTATTAGGCTGCTGTCACCCCTTGACTGACGTTTACTTCACTATATTACAATTAAATCCTAATCTAATCATGACAAACTAGATATCAATGGAAAGGTCGAAGACTCCTAAATAGATATTTTACCACTGTGTTTTTGGTACAAATTATGTAGGAACAGTAATAGATTAATTTATGACAAGAGTGAACCTCAAAAAATCTGCATCATAACAGGAGTTCTGACCTTTGTCACAAAAAGTTGACGCACACACTTTTAATAATTGAAACTTTGGTTTTCATGCTAAAAGTTCATAATAAAACATATAATCTAGTATTTTTCAATAAAAAATTATGAAATAATATTATCCTCTAAAAAGTATAATGTATATATTTTTTATCCTCTAAAATATAATATTATCTTTTTTTTAAATGTCATGTGGTTGGTTTTGACATTGGCTGTCATCAGTCCATTATAACTGTGTCATGAATATTCTTCGTGACCTCGACTACAGTGGTACAAATTTAATTTGTCATTAAAATGTTATAAAGGCCTCATGACAGCCAATGTCAAAACCAACCACCTGACAGTTTAATGTAATGTTAACCAATGAAGCTAAGTGGTTTCTTAAGTTTGATAATTAATCTGCTATGTCATGTTTATGACATATTTATGACAGGTTGTGTTGTCTTAGTAATGTCAAGTTGTCATAACAAAGACATCTCAAACAATGTCATATTTGCATTAAAAATGACACTTAATGACAGTTGTCATAAACATGCATAAACCTCCTTCATATTCATGATGTGTCATGTCATGGTTATGAAGGTGTCATGTCAGTCTTATGCACACGCCTTCAAGTAAAGTGTTACCAGCATGTCAGTATTATTTAATTAAATATTTGATTAAAATACAATAAGTAATAGTTGATTGTAGTTTATTAGTGGTTGTATGTTGTGGCACAGGTGTTGTACTGGTGTTTGTAGTGTGTGTGTGTGTGTGTCTCCTCACCTCTGTAATGCTGTGTTTGTGTTTTACAGGAACGATGAGAAGGAGTATGCGCTGAAACAGATAGAAGGCACTGGTATTTCCATGTCTGCCTGCAGGGAAATTGCTGTAAGTTGTTTTTTAAACTCCTTCTGAACTGCTTTACCCCGTACAATTATTTTTTTAATCACCTCAGTTTGTAAAAACAAACTAAAATGTGTCTACATACAATAATATGAACCCAGCACTGTGAATCAATGTTTAAAATGCAGCTGCACCGTTTCCAAAATATAACCATAATTCTTAAATATTAGGCTATTGATTATACTAGCTTGTTTCCTTTAATCAACACAATGGTATGACCAGCTTAAAAAAGTAAAGCCTTTTATTTTTGCTTGGTTCCCGTGAAAATAACCTTTGGCGGTTTAGTTTTGTCCAGGGCATCTGTGTAAAGTTCTTCTGATCTTCTCATCTAATAACCCCTGGTTGTTAGGCACTATTCTTTGTAAAGCTGATTTGCAATATAGAAATGAAGTTGAGTTCAAATATCAGCTTTTGCAGATAGCAGTTCACTTCACCTTTAAACTGTGGAGGTTTGCTGTTAGTGCACTTAGGCATCATGTCTGTGGTGGGAAACACTGCATCAGGACAGGCTGTGTCGTCTTATTCGAAACATTCATTGAGTCGCACAAATCAACTTGACAAAAGTGTCACATGACTTACACAAGGTCAAAACTGTGCTGTCATGTTTTTCCGTTTGAAAAACACTTTCGACCTCAGTGTGCAGGGTTGCCACACACACACACACACACACACACTTTCAGGCTCTGTTTCACACTCTCACACTGCCCAAGTGAATCTCACAGCAAATTAAAAAAGCCAGACCATTTGGTGTATCAAGATTCGCGAGAGCGATTCAAAAGCTGTGCTTGAAGTCACATGACATTCGGTCTGTGCAGCGCCGCATGAAGTTAAACACATGTACTGACAAGGCATGGGTTTTAATTAAACCAATGAAGACCTGCAGCCTGTTGATTGGACCAGTCCGTACCAGTCACATGTCCCCCACGGCTACGATAACTATTATTCATTTGAGTTGTTCGTTTGAAGCTTTACTAACATGGCCAGCTGACAGGGCTCCCTGTATGTTTACAGCATTAGTTGATATGTTTTCCTTGAGAAAATGTAACATGTAGCTACTGTACCTGATATTTATCCAAATGAATTGATATTGAATCAAGACCGGAAACCTTTTATAATTCTCATTTCAAAGTTGGCGACCGTGAGTGCGTTCCAGTCAATCGCATGTACATCACACCACATATACTTGTTATTAAATGTGCAAATCATGGCTATTCATTGATAAAGGTGAAGCAAGAGAGGGAGCACATGGAAAAAACAGGACAAAACAAAACACATGTAAGACCAATAAACCCTGAAACTGGGAAACAGCCAAATAGGAATTAGGATTAAACACACATTACCTCGAGTAAAACACACTCCAATGGTTGATACAGCTGCCAACGCATTGCATAACCACTGCTGAAACAAAATGCTTTCTTTTCAGGGAAACTTTAGTGTTATTTTCTAGAAGATAAAATACTGCAATTTCTTCTGGTATTGTTGTTTAGTTAGGCATGGGTATCGCTAAGGTTTTAATTACTACTCTTACCGATACTGCTTATCGATCCAGTGCTTGTAACAGTATTATTATCTTTCTTTTTTTTAAGAATTAAGAACATAATTAACATGGCTTTATATTTTGAAATGTAAAATAAATATCTTTAGCAAAAGAAAAAGTTATGCTTTAACAAAACAAACAAAACATCTATATGCAGCAGTGTGCAGGCTTTTTGTGTGTTTTATATACATAACATGACATATATTTATATACCTAACCCACACTAACCCTATCCCATGCAGGAAACATTTCATGGGTCACATCCTGCTTTTGACATCTAGTCAGATTCTGTTGTAACCAGGAGGGAATAGGATAAACACTATTATTCCTGAATAGCAGAAGAACTAACCAAGCTGCTTTATATGATATATATATATACACTCACCTAAAGGATTATTAGGAACACCATACTAATACTGTGTTTGACCCCCTTTCGCCTTCAGAACTGCCTTAATTCTACGTGGCATTGATTCAACAAGGTGCTGAAAGCATTCTTTAGAAATGTTGGCCCATATTGATAGGATAGCATCTTGCAGTTGATGGAGATTTGTGGGATGCACATCCAGGGCACGAAGCTCCCGTTCCACCACATCCCAAAGATGCTCTATTGGGTTGAGATCTGGGGCCTCATTTATAACCGTTGCGTACGCACAAAACAGGCCCTGAAAGAGGCGTACGCCACTTCCGACGCATAAGTTGTGATTTATAAAAACAAACTTGACGGAAAAATGTGCGCACCTGCACGCAAACTCTGACCCATGCGTACGAACGTTTTGGAGACGGAGCAGTTTGGCGACACCGACGGTGAGCTGGAGTTAAATGTCTTTTTGGTCACTTTTAGACAGAAAATCTAAAGAAAATTAGGCCTATACATAGGCTATACAGAAAGATAATACAAATATAATTTCACTCACGAAGCATATCACTTGAGGCAAATATTCATCCCTTCTTAAATGTCCGCGCCAGCAAGCGCGTTGTGCCGTTTAGTGAAACTAACGCCTATCTAACGACAGAGTCCTAATCATAAAAACAGTGCATGTTCACAATAACAGTTTAAATAAATAAAAGAATGATTTAAACTGTTTTACTTCTGATATAAACATTTAGATTAAATATGCCATTGTCATTGATGGAGTTAAACACTTAAACATGAAATCATTACTGAGAAGTTACAACTTTTTTTATATTCAATAAATATAAATATTTGTTGTGGATGCAATGCTTTTGAACACTTTTCCTCTGGCATGCTGTGTTTTAATATTTTAACTAAAGAGATAATTGCTTATAGCAGATTGTCTGAGAAAATAGTTTCGTGCAAATAATGCACAACAGTCTATCTGTTTCCATTAAAAATATAAATCAATAAAAAATACTATTTGGTCAGTGGAAAAGATTGTGAAAACTTTCTCTGAAATGTATTTTACACTATTTGATTTATTTATTCAAAAACAAGGCAAGGATAGGCTACTAAATTATTTTTATTAATGTAGGCTAATGCGACGGCACATCCATATTAGGCTATTTCATATTTTCCTAATGTCTATACCGTTAAACATGTTATCACGTGGATGAATAATCATATGCAAATGATATGCAGATGAGGATATGCATAGTAAAACTAGGCGTTGTAAGCTCCATATATGGTTATTTCGGGGAGGAGACGCGTGTGCGCACAATCTTCCGCTGACTGAGATTTATCGGGATTTATAAAGTGAATTCTGCGCAGGTTCTGGCGTACGCACGGTTTTATAAATCTGAATATTTTTTTGCGTACGCCATTTTTGGCTTTCGGGCGCACGTACACTTTTAGTAAGGATCCTACGCACAGTTTTATAAATGAGGCCCCTGGTGACTGTGGGGCCATTTTAGTACAGTGAACTCATTGGGCCCTATCTTGCAATCGGCGCAAATGACTTTGTACACTGACGCATGTATCATTCCTATTTTGCACCCGCGCAAAGCGGACTTTTCTCTCCACAGACGCACGTCGGTTAACTAAGAAATACACTTGCGCTCCCCGGGGCAGTTCAGCGCAAAGAGGAGGCGTGTTCCGGCGCAAACTTTCCCTCATGCTATTTTGCTGTTCTATAAAACAATTGCGCCACTGACCAGAAAAAACTAAGTCTAAAATCAGTGGCGCGTTGCGCGTTGTTCATTATGCTATTTTAAGGGCGCATGCTTGGCCATAATCAATGTAGCGTGTGCACAACGCGCATACACTTTGATTCTCTCATCTAAGCAGCAGTTTTCATTTTTGCAAATCATACATTATTACGATAGATAGATAGATAGATAGATAGATAGATAGATAGATAGATAGATAGATAGATAGATAGATAGATAGATAGATAGATAGATAGACAATTTATTATAAAAGCATACATGTAGCTTACACATTTACCCAAATTATCATACGCCTGTTTAACAGAAGTTAATTTGGGTGGGTTTCTCCATCCCCAATGTCACTTCTCTGTGTTTTACGGCCCTGACGAGAACGTTGGTCTCCTCGGCTGTGAACCGCTCCTGGCGCGCGCCTGGCAAATCCGCCGTTATAATAGGAATCCGCTTTAGAACAAGCGCGCCTGCTCTTAAAGGGAATGTGAGATGACGCTCTGATTGGTTTATTTCACGTTACGCCCAAACCACACCTATGAATAATGTAGATACTTCAGACCAACCCCTTTTAGATTTGCGCCAGGCGCAAAAGGCATTTATCCCGCCGGGAAAATAGCAACAGCGCCGGGATCCGCCCACAAAGTTACTTGCGCTTTGCGCTTTGACACTTGCGCTTCAGATCGTTAAAATAGGGCCCATGGTCATGTTCAAGAAACCAATTTGAAATGATTCGAGCTTTGTGGCATGGTGCATTATCCTGCTGGAAGTAGCCATCAGAGGATGGGTACATGGTGGCCATAAAGGGATGGACATGGTCAGAAACAATGCTCAGGTAGGCCGTGGCATTTAAACGATACCCAATTGGCACTAAGGGGCCTAAAGTGTGCCAAGAAAACATCCCCCACACCATTACACCACCACCACCAGCCTGCACAGTGGTAACAAGGCATGATGGATCCATGTTCTCATTCTGTTTACGCCAAATTCTGACTCTTGCCATCTGAATGTCTCAACAGAAATCGAGACTCATCAGACCAGGCAACATTTTTCCAGTCTTCAACTGTCCAATTTTGGTGAGCTCTTGCAAATTGTAGCCTCTTTTTCCTATTTGTAGTGGAGATGAGTGGTACCTGGTGGGGTCTTTTGCTGCTGTAGCCCATCCGCCTCAAGGTTGTGCGTGTTGTGGCTTCACAAATGCTTTGCTGCATACCTCGGTTGTAACGAGTGGTTATTTCAGTCAAAGTTGCTCTTCTATCAGCTTGAATCAGACGGCCCATTCTCCTCTGACCTCTAGCATTAACAAGGCATTTTCGCCCACAGGACTGCAGCATAC